CCTGTTTCCTGATGTAATGACATTATTTTACATATAAAGCTTTTACGTCTCGAATTGTATTCTTGAATTTACTTTTATTATTCGAAACTTTTTATTTTTGGCACTCACTGAGCAACGCTTATGATGCCACACAGCCAAGCAATGCAATATATTGTTCAGCTATTAATAAATTTTGCAAATAAATATACTACCTTTTATAAAGATTTTTTTTTCACTCTAATCTTGTTTAAATATTCAAGCTTGGAAAAATGTCTTCAAATTAACTTTAAAGTTTGAGTAAAATGCGTAAATTTTTCATCACTGAGGTAAACTTATGTCTGATTTTTACTCGAGCAAGTTTTGTATAAAATGATTTCAAGATAATTTCGAAGATATGATTAGATTAATTCTTTATTGTGCAGTGGAAAAAATTATTACAATGATTAAATGAAGTCTTGTCTAAAAAGCTAATTAATTTACAAATTTGATCGAGATAAATTGTAATGCAATTACTTTTTCAATTCTTTAATTGTATGGTAAAAATTTTATTTTGCAAAAACATTTTGAATACTGAAATAATAACAGTCAAACACTATGTCATTTAAACAGTAAGTAATTAATATTAAAGTATTTTTTAATTAATTAGCGTTTGAATACAACTACTATTTCTCACTCTACAATGATAACATAACAGAATAAATAATTCTCAACTAAAATTATTAAATCCAAAGTTAAAATGCAAAAAGAATGTAATTCAATGCTTTTCCTTTTTTGAAGGGATCGATAGATTTGCAGAAGTTCAAAATTCGCAATAATAAAAATAGTCAAATTAAAAAATGAACAAAATTTTTGGTATATTTTTAACTAGATATAAGTTATTAAATTAGCTTGCTTTCCCTTCTAAACTTTGTTTACTTAATTTATCACAACTATTATTACTTTTCAAAGCTGTGATTATGAGCTGTAGTAAATATTTCAAATCAAACAAAATGCAAAATTGTAGACAAAAAATTGCTCGTTTCATCATAAAAATTGCTTCAAAATTAATGCTTACAACATATTTTGGAAGAAATTGAGAAGATAAATGAGGTCATTCTATTTGTTTATTCTTTTCTAACATTTTGATAACATTATCTAGTTCAAATATATTGATAATAGATATCACTTTGCATGATTAACGACTAATATGGTTAGAAATAACAACAATAAAATCATTAATAGAAAAGTGGGATTTTTCAATATTTTGAAAATTTGCCTTCTCTCCATTTATTCTTTATCATATTTGCATTTTATATGTGGAATTTACCAGTCATTTGCTCAAATATTTGAGAAACTTTATTTACTTATACTATTTTAAATCATTTCAGTACGTTAAAAACAAAAGAAAGTTGTACCTAATTTTTACTTTTTTCCAAAACAATCCATGCCCCCTCCATCTTCTTGCCAGTTCTTTTACTAAATACAATGAAGAAAGACCTTTTGATTTTAACTTTTTCACTTACAACACTGATAATAATTTACTCAAATCTTCACAATTTTTTTGCTCATCCATTATGGAAATAACTTCTTTACTTCTGATAAAAGTAATAAATCAATTATTTTAAAAAAATTAAATAAGTTAAATTAATTACAGAAATTATCAATTAAGTCAGTGATGTGCTTGCCATTTCTAACAGATAATTCCAACTGTTTAACATATTATATCTTATGTAATTATTACAAAATTTAAACTTTTTTCTATTTATATTGGTAAGTATTTTGCAGTATTTGAAAAAAATTTATGATGTATTCAGATAATCAAACAAAATTTGTAAGAAAACCTCCATAATCTTTGCCAAGGATGAAGCAGCGAGGAAGAATGCTAGCAATCTCTTGGAAGATTTGGATGTTCGAAGTATTTTTGGTGCTTGTACCTCCGCTGGAAGGGATTTTCTTGGGTGGAACTAGTAGCTGTTGTTGTGGTTGTGGAATGCCAATGCCACCCTCTTGTGGTTGCGCTCCACCACCGATGGTTAGTTTCGTTCTGCTGATTTGCACAATTACTTTATTATTTTCAAATACTTTTTGATTGAAATGATACTATATAAAGACAACAGCTATTTGAGCAGTCCATATAATTTAATGTAATTTCAAACATTCATTCTTAAAAATTATTAACTATGCACGACGATTCTTTATTCTATGGAATTTTTCTCGGTTGTTTTCGACTGTGTATGTACGACTAACTTTTCGAGAAAATATATTGCAAAGTTTATAAGGATCTGAAGCTGATATTTAAGCCAATTTGTCCACCACCGATACCATGTCCACCACCTGCTTGTCCTGTATGCAGTGCTTGTCCACCACCAAGGCCTTGTCCCCCGCCACCTATTGCTGTTTGTCCTGCTCCCAATCCAGTTTACTTACCAAGCTGTGGTTGTAATGGTGGTGGCGAAAGTGTTGCGGTTGGCGGTATCAGTAATATTGGTTCTGCTGGAACTGGTATTGGTGCAATTAAAGGAGCAGGTTACGGTATGTTTGATCTTAACTCTATTCGAATTTTAATGAATAAAGTTAAATTCATTGCTGATATTTGAATGAAGTAAATTTTGTTCAGACAAAGTAATATTTTAGTCTTGTGATTGAGGTTTTGCCAACTTTACATCAACTATGATAGCAACTTCGTTTCTTGCTTTTAAGCCGTTATTGTTTCGAAGAGTTTCAGCGCAGGTACCTATAATTGAACCTGGATCATCTGTTGCTGCCCTTCAGAATTCCTATGCTGCCATTCAACCAGGTCCTTACACTGAAGCTCAGCAAGGTACTTTGATTGCTGGTCAACAAGGTCCATTTATTGAAGGTCAGCAAATTATATATTCCGAAGGAAAAGAGCATAATGCACCGGAAACTTCAGCACCATCAACCAAACCTTATCAGTTTTCAGGTTTTTAAAAACTTAACTGTTTGCTTAATATTAATATTTATGCAAGATTTTTATATCTTATCACTATTAATTGTTTCATTTTCTTTTAGACTAGTAAAGACAATTTTTGATAAATTAGATGTGATAAGCATTGAATTTTGATCCCTAGGTACATAAATTTGTCCATAATCATGTTTCAAGAATTGAAATTTCTTTACAAAAACCATATTTTATTATTTTTTCCGGTTCCATCTACAATTACCTTATTGAAATCTCTATAGACAATTAATAGCATTTGTAAAGCTAATTGATTGATTTTGTGAACTAAATGAAGTATATGAAGTTTTAGCAGCACCACCCGGAAGACCAAGTGTACAAGCTGAATCCCGTGCAAGTGGCGTTGTGACTGTTTCAGCAAACAAATGTAACAGTGCAAGACTTGAAGATTTACTTACTGAGGTAACCATTTCAGCAGATTGGTGTTATTTTTTACATTGAAATTTAGTCACTCATGAGTTAATCAATTGTCTAATTTCAAATAAACAGATGAAGTGAAGATGAAATGAAAATAAATGTAATTCAGAATATGGACGACATGGATCCTGTAACAGCCAAGCGAGCTATACATAAAGCAGCTCAAGAGAATTTTAAAGGTGAAGATGTGGACATCATTTGTTCTGATTCTGGATTTACATATATTGTCAGTACAGAAGAATATTGTGAAGCACAGAAAGGCAAAATTATCTGTTTTATATTTAAAAGCCACAATCCCCCTTCATAAATTATTTCATTATTAAATTAATACTTACTGCGCAATAGTTTCAAGAATGAATCCAAATTCGATGTTGTGAACAAAATAGTTTTGCGAAAAATAATTCTGTAATTATGTACTTGAATGCTTTTATTTTTTCAACAGCATAATTTAAAAGTGATAGAAATTGTGAGTAGATTTTGAATGAAAGTTTTAGAATCGAATAAAATATTTAAAAGGGGCATTGTATTTTATTACTTTTGCTTGAATGGGTGAAATTACTTGGTCGCTTTCTAGTTTGTAATATTGCATATTTATTTTCTTTTGTAATATCTCTCCCATGATTTGTAATGAAGATATATAATATGATGCGGTGTGCAGTGGAAGCAAAGTTTCACATTAATGAATCTAATTTTGTCTGAATAATTTGTCACTTTTTTTGTAACTGTATTGTTTTATAAACATTCTAATGGTAATTTAGTGAGATATATTAGTAAAAATAGCAAAAATATAACTGAATCCCAAAGTCAAAAAGACTGGAATTTGCTGATCCAAGCAGAAGTCTTAATAAGAGTTGAAACTAATAAATTAAAATATGAGTATAACTTTTCTAAAAAAATGCGAAATACACAACCAAGTTAGTGTATTTTGCATGCTAAATTTTTTAGTTTATTATTCACTAATTGGAATTTGGCAATAATGCTTATACAACTTTTATTAAACTACGGTCATGCATTGATATAAATGAAGTGATTAATTTAAAGCTAGTAAATTATTAAAATTTTCAATATTTCCAAGCTTTGATAGTTAATTTTGAAAAAATGCTGACCACAAGAGCTTTAAGTAAGTTGTAATTTCAACAAACGATATTTTTAATGGTACAGTTAACCAAATTTGACATTGCCGATTAAAATGGTTTTTCACTATGTAAATATTTCTGGAAACTAAGATTGTGAGTTGTCAGCAATTGAAGTGGGAAAATTAACAAAAAATTAGCAAATGAATCGTTTTAATTCCAATATTGCAAGTCGAAAAGAAGCTTCTACAAGAAATGCTTGTTACTAATTTTCCAGAGAAATGCACGCGATATGCAAAAACGAAAAAGTCCATTCAGTATTGCTTCTATGTTGGAAATTCTAATAAGTTTTTACGTGAGATGAAGTGCGTAGAGTGGAAAAATGGCAACGATGTCACTTAAGATCCATATAGGGATATAACGAGAAAGGTATAGAAACTGACAATGGATAGATGTATATATATGGTAAAGAAATGTAAGTTTGAAAAGGATAGAAAGGACGTAATTGACAGAGGTTTGGATGATTAAGAAGGTTGGAAGTTGCTGACTTTGCTCTACTTGACTTTACCTAGAAAATGGCATTACCAAAATGACATTATTATGTCGTCTTCTATTTCAGTCAAGTTAACCTGACTCTACCCGCTTCGGATTGCCTGGTATCTACGCTTCACAGGTGGAGGACTGACGCACCGCATCAGCTGGTCACTTTAGCGTTTCAGCATTAGTTCCAGCAGAAAAAGAGGATTTTTTGAAATTACTTTATAGCTCCTTGTTTACTCTTCTTTGATTGTAATTGTGCTTGCTTTTGATTGCAATTGTTTTCTCAAATTGTAACCTTTTTTAATCTTTTGAATATAACTGTATTTTCAGTGGAGTTGTAAACTTTTTTCGTTGTTATTTCTTGTAGTCGAGAAAATGCCCATTGAAAAAAAAGGTACAAAAGTGCTCTATTCGAATTTAATGACTGCAAATTATGCATATTAGCTATTTGTAATTGTACTGCTTCTGACTGTGCCTTTCTTGAAAGTGCCTTATTTTCGATAGAGCAACTGGTTAAAAAAAGGAAAATAGGAAAGAAAGGGGACAGAGAGAAAACGATAAAGAATAAGAAAGAAATATGATAAGGGAAAAACGATGAAGGGAATGATAAGAAAAGTGATGTCAGGAATAGCTGATAAATAGTTTACAAAAAATTATGAAAGGAAGGGAGGGTATTCACTAATTACTGTTCATTTTATTGCTTATAAATGTTCTAATCATTAAGCTGTTTAGAAATTTGGCTGATTACCGATTATTCTACGTGGATGGATATTAACTTTTTAGTGGCTTCAACTTGTACCATGTTAATTTTATTTTTATTACTTCAGAAATTCCGTGTTGTTGTTATGTCATTTTTTAGATGTCTTTCATCTTCGAAAAATGTGGTGGGTCAAGAAAATTCGAGATAATTCTTCTGACGATTGCAGGAAATGACTGCATATTGGAAATTGAAATAAAAGAACGGAAAATTTTCGAGACATCGTAGAAGAGGCATGAGAAATCAGCAACACGACTTCTCAAATTTGGAAGTAGTAAAATCGATGTATGAAAATTTTCTTTTTGTATATATCAGCTAGACGTCACATGCTCTTCATCTAAAAAGGTGTCAGTGTCGCTCCGAAAAGAGATTTGTTTGGAAAAGAATGGAAAAAGTTATGGTTTTTGTATAACTTGCGATTTGTTCTTTGAAAGCACAGTTGTAGGCATAGTGTTCTTTTTGCGCTACCAGTTTTAAGCCGTATAAGTTATTCACTTTTGCCTTTGCACTAATAAAATTTTTGCTAAGGAAGAAGAAAATACGAAGTGATGTGTTGGTTTTTACATACTGGTTACAATCTAATAAATGGATTGTGGTTTCATACTGTGTCGGAAATTTCCATTTTGGACATTATTTCACATATGCATAGTCATGCGTCTCTTTGCATTTATGTTCATACATATTTCTGCAGCTAGTGTGTGTGCATGCATCTGTATTACCCCTATCTATTTATATATATCCTTCCTGTGTAGTCATGCAAGCTTCTGCAGGTGTGTGCATGTGCTCTGTTGTATGTGACTCTATACCTTTGGCAGTGCAAAGAGGTAAAAACACTCGGTATTAGTGGCTGACAATCCATTCAAGAAGACGCCTGAGAACATCATTATGTTCCAATACATAATTTGATCACCGCGATAGATTCGACAACTCGCCGATAGCTGGAAGCTATAATTAAATGTAATACATAATTCTACCGTTAACACCTAGTGGATTCTTGTTGATCTAACAACTGAGTCATGTCGCATAGCAACACAATTATGATGCACTCACGAAATGATTGTTGAAAACAATCAGTGGCTTAAAATAAAGGCATTTGAAATTTATTACTGCGCATAGTATCCATATGGTCGGTTTCAAAAATATAGTTCTTGAAGAGAAAATGGAGTTACAAAAACTGTTTCATTCCGTCCAAAGAAAGTTTGGAATAAAGTAGTGCAAAAGTTAGTGTATTGCCGTAGGTAATCTTAATTAATTTCTTTTTCATTTCGTCACTATTGATCATGAAGTCATTTCTCGTCCTCATAGCTATTTGAGTTTGAGGTACACATGTGAAATTAATCTGCTATGGTTTACTTTAAATTGTATGTTGTTTTGCATATTTTTGTGTACTTGTGGACTCAAAAACTTCAATTAGAAATCTAAATAATCATAACATGAGCTGTTTCCGAATAAGTTAAAAGTTAATAGGATTCAGACTTATATTTCACAATTGGAAAGATATAGTCTTCAGTGCAATTTAGTCTGAGACAGCCAGATTGTTTTGTTGAAATTGTCTTATTAAAAAGTTGAGGACCTCTTGACCGGTCAGTTTTGTCTTTGATTAGTATATCTTTTTTTGATTCTGTTTCTTCCGATCATATCGTGGCCAATTCATTCATACTTTCCTCGAAAATTAGGTTATTTCATGCTTCATAAATATTTTGATTTAGTTTTGTTCTGCATAAACTACCAAATTTTTTAGTAAGTTTCTTAGTCTGTGCAAACGGTCAGCGCTGGGAAATTACTAGAAACTATTAAAAGCAAAACTTGTAAATTAGTGGTAAAAATTGGAGAAATTGGAGATTTTCTCTCCTTCTAATCAGTGATGAATAATGAAAAACGACTGGATAACTAAATATAATGTATTATCTTTGTTAATGCATGTGTTCGTTGGTCAAGACATTGGTTTACGCGTTACGCACGAAATGGAGCTTATAAAATCGGTATGCTGAGTCGGTTATATTTGGTTTCTGACCGTGAGATCTTTTTAAACGCGTTTGTAAACGCGTTTAAAAAGATGGTGAGTGTGTAAACACGGGTATACAGATGTATATACTCACGCAAACATGTTTGAATGCGCATCTCTCGATGTATGCTTGCGGATGTGAGAACTGCTGGATGCGTTTTTGTAGACGCACGTGTGTATTTGTGTGTGGATGTTTTCTTGTTGATGTGTTGTACTTGTTTTATGTTTGTGTACTTTTGTTGACATGTATGTGCGTTATAGATGCACATACATGTGATGTGTATGTGCGTTATAGATGTGTGCATTTACACATGCAAGTATGTGGATGAACCTGCGTTCTGAATAATATGCTGTGTCCGCATGCGTAATTAGCAG